TCAGATGAGATGTTTAAAGCAATGCTATTAATAATGCTGTGTATAACAGCTGCCTTTATTTATTCATAAATACAGCACAAACATCTTACTTGTCAAAAGAAGAGGATTTTCTTTTACTATAAAAAGATAATTAATTCAGGCTGGATAAACTTAACGGTGCATTTGCCATCTGGGCAAAGCAAATAGAACACCAGAATAGAATTGTGTGAAGAAAAATAATCAAAATATGGAATAAAAATACATGCTTAAACTCTGTTTTGACTTCTTTAACAACAACTCTTTTCCACCCCACGTAGTATGCTCATGCTTATTTGAAAGAAGATGTAAAAGGCAACAGGGCATAGAAAAATACGCAGATGAATGTGAACAAATATTCAGATGATTTCTGTTTTGTTTTTTTTTTTTTTTTTTTTTTTTTTGTTGCTGTTGTTTGTTTTGTTTTGCACATCAGTGACATAAGCAAAAGGTTTCCTGGGCTGTGCTATATCCATGAGAGACAGGAACCCCTGTCAAATAAAAGAGAGTTGAAAGTGTTTTGTGAACTTTAAAGAACCCTAAGCATAGAAAAGAATGATAATTATTTCCATCATCCCGATTTGTCATTAGAGAATACAACTCAGACACTCTGGAGGCTTTGACATTATTAAATCAACCCAGGAAACAGAACTTGGTTGATGATCATGATCTATAAAATCCCTGAAAGGGGATACTTGCCTTGTGGAACCATCACTTAAGAGCATTTTAGTCTCACCGTTAGGCTCTTAGATGTCACTTATTCAGAAACGTTGCTTCTTTCTTATTTTCTCCTTAAACACATCAGACAAGCACACTTCTGTCTGCTCAGAAGTGTGCAGAGAGTGCAGCCTGACTCCATGAGTTCCCAATCACATGCATGGGAGTAGTGACCTCAGTGCTTTCTCTCACTCCATCCGTTGCCCCCTACATTGCCTCTTTGCATTTTCTCTTTTTTAACCATGCCCCATCACCATTCAGCAGAGCCCTGACACTTTCCTCTACCCTATTTGTTTACAACAAAAAGAATTGATGTCCCTTAAATAGTTCTCCTTAAACTAGTAAATAGTTCTCCTTAAAAAGTGACTTTTGAAAGAAATTCTTCTTTCAAGTTGCCTTTTCTATGTTAGGATCTTGACCACAGATCAATTCCGACTGCCCTGAGAACCTAGCGCTGGACTTAGGTGTTGCACTCCTCATGACCTGGACTCTCAATTCATATACTGCGAACAGTTTTGTTGGTTTTGAGTAAATGAGTAAACACTTACTAAAGTTGATCTCCATTAAGTGTAGCAAGGAATCCATTAAATGATGTAATAATGTGGCCCATGTAAGATGATGCTATTAAAAATAACTTTATTACTCTGGGATTTAGTGGAGAGGGGATTTTGACGACAACTCTTGGCTGGACAGTAAACACAATGCCTCCTGATTTTTAATACATGTCAGAATGAATCTCTTTCTTTTGGTTTGTAAAACAAAATCCTAACAAACAAAGTCTAGAGACTAGTTGATACTGGCATTACTAGTCTCTTTCAGTACTTCTCTGACCCTAGACGCTCACACCTCCCTTCTACTCTGTGAACACGATATAATCCTTCTGACTAAAGGCTTTGACAGACTGTTTCTTCAATCAGTTTTTTTCACTCTTCCCAGATTATTTTTAATTACAATTCATAGCTGAGCTCAGACATCATTATCTCAAAAACCTCTCTCTGACATCTTGCATGAATCTGCTTTTCTCTCTATGCTCTCCTGGCGTCCTTTGTACAAGTGATAATAACTGCATAAGCACTCGAGTGATTAATTGGATAACAGGACTTTCCTGCTAGAAAGTAAACTCTATGAGGACTGATACTATGGCTGTCTCATTCCCAGCTGTCTCCAGAGCCCTTGGCAATATGTCCACTCACTGGTTTTCAACAAACAGGGTCACAAAGTTACCGAGGGAGTGAATTCCTTGATGGTAACGATGCTGCTGAAGACAAACCACCTGTAGGATGACACCAGATCCTCTGATGATCTTCTGAAAGTGTTGACAAAGTCTGTAAAAACCAAATGTAGAGGTTTTTTTTTTAAAGATTTTTTTTATTTATATATACAAGAACTGGGGTACAGGCCAGAGTGCGGGGGGTGAGAGGATTCACCAGAGACAGAGTGGGGAGCAGAACATGCAGACTGACTAAAATACATTGCAGAGGGGAGCAGTGGGTGAGGCAGGAGAGGTCTGCTGCACCATGTGGGTAGCTCCCTGGCTGGCCAGGGATTGAACTCATGCTGCAGAGGCTGTGGATAGCTTCACAGTGCTGTGCTTAACCCCTTGCACCACCAGGGAGGCCCCAAATGTACAGTTTTCAATTCTGTTTCTGTGTAACAATTTCCTCTTCAATTCTTTTAATAGTTAGCTTATTTTGAAGTCCAGTATGGAAGAAGTAAAATATGGGTCAAATCATGCCATCCGTTCATATTTCTTCTGTGTTACAGGAGCTACATTATACAACCGGGGACCTTTTCGATGAAGCTCAAGTTTACCTTGTATAATAAATTTCTCAGTGAAGACAAAATTCAGTCATCAGATGCATTCAGAAGCATTGAACCAAATCTCTATGGAAATAGCATTTCCTCTGGGCAAAATATTTATATATGTCATGCATATGTTAGCTGTGACTCGCATGTGAATGCAGAAATTTATACTCCGTCTGCTGTGACACTGATAAGGGAACAAAAATGCACTCTTTCCTATTCCCGTGTGTGGGGAAGAGGTCAAGCACATTCCTTGATTTTCATATTGTATATGTCAGTTGGACCTAAGGAGTCATTGAATTTTATGGGCAAAAATAGAAACCCATCAAAATTTCTAAGGCCCTCTTACAACAATAGCAGTGAAACAAAATATTTCCATTGCTTCTCTATTCTAAGATAATGAAAGTCTATACATCTAGACTTGTGACTGGGTTTTAAAAATCTCTGGACTCACAAACTCTATCTTGGGTCTGTTTGTAATTCCATGTCCTCTGCTTTCTAGTCCCTTTTGCTCATGAATGAGGAAAGGCTAGAAACAATACACTCCGGTGTATCCATGTATTTTTCTGAAAGTAAGAAAAGGATATGATACATTTATGTGACTTTGGACTGTATCTTAATTTTAATTAGACTTCCCTTTATTATTAGAGTTCCTACATCCATGGGTTCTTTATTATATGTAACATATGACAAATACTTTCTGCACTTAGGGCACTGGTGAGACACAGCACAGAACCCTAGATACTGAGAGTGGACAAATAACAATAGACTGGTTAATTAAGGAGGATAATTCCCAAAGGGTTAATTTTGAAAACACAAATGAGAGACTGATTTATATTGAAAATACCAGGTGTGAACAGCAAAATTTAGATTTTTTCCCCATGATGACCTTATTCTATAAGCCAGCTGAAAAGGTCGTAAGATGCTGTAGATATAAATCTTGAATTTCTAAAGAGCAACTCAAGTGACCCCTATCAAGTAACTAATGTGGAAGGAATCCCACCCTTGAGCACTGGAAAATGTCAGTTTTTTAAAAGATTTATTTTTTTATGCATACAAGAACTGAGGTGCAGGTCAGAGGGTCAGGTGTGGAGGGTGAGAGGATTCACCAGAGACAGAGTGGGGAGCAGAACAGGTGGATCTACTGAAACACACTGCTGAGGGCAGCAGTGGGGAGACAGGAGAGGTCTGCTGCACCATGTGGGTCAGCTCCCTGGCTTGGGGATCCAACTCATGTTGCAATGTCTGGCGACAGCTTGATAGCACTGTGTCTTTAACCCCTGCACCACCAGGGAGGCCCCAAAATGTGACATTTTAAACCCATTTGTTTGCTTACTTGACTGGAATGGGCTACTGGATACTACAAATATTAAGAATGTGACATAATATGATTTTCCTTCTCTCATTCCATTATATTGGAGGGGGACTCACTTGTCAAACAATTCAGTTGGAAACTCACAGATTAAATGGGGTATTTTCTCTAAGGTAGGGAAAAAATGAAAATAAAAGAATAAAAGATTTAAAAAAAAACAACTTCCACCTTAGAGACAATTAAAAACAAAAACATGCCCCAAATCCCAACTTCAAACTGTGGCAGACGAATACCATTTGTCTAGACACAGATAAGGGAACAAATGCAGCCGACAGATGACTCTTGGAAAGTTACATAAGACTCAGATTGCTCCAAAACCATTTGAAAGAAACTTCTAAGCAAATGTTGATTAGAACAATCAGACACTTGAGCATGGATGGGGCACTGGGGGATAACAGAATGTTTCCACAGAGAACCAGTGTGTACTGAGAAATGAAGAGAAACTCAATGCTTAGGAGTTCATTTTCTCCCCTATGGTCTTTCAGTAAAGACCACCAGGAGTTAATTGGGCCAAAGAAATTTGTAAAGAGACAAAAAGATTTCATTTTAATCAGTCCCTTTCAAACAAGCTTGCAAGTTGCAGATAGTATATTACAGACATATATGAACACACACACATAAACACACACACACACAATTATTTTTATCAAATAAGGTTGCTCCTAATGAATCAGCAGATTAGTATTCCACAAACAAGCCAAAGTGGAAGTGAAAATAACAGACCTGTACTTGAGAAAATATGAAATATAAATACCATTATAACAGTATTTGAAACAGAATTCTCCATATCCTTGAAGGTTTATTATTGCCACCATCGCCTGAGATTGGAGGCAGGGATTCGCTATTTCCCTCTCGCACAACAGGTGTTTTTCTACCAGTAACAGGGTCCACACCTACTTTCTTCAGGAGCCACAGGAAATGCAGCTGCGGGGCAGGGCTCCATGCTGGTTGGAAGCTACATTTTTACCTGCAGCATCAATGTTAAGCCTACCAGTGGTTAAATGGTTTCACTGTCTCCCTTGCACAAAGATCCCTTATTTTCTCATAAGAGGCAAAAGATCAGTGCATTTTCAAAGGACAAAAATATGGACACCATTTTATTTAACATTTAATAGTATACAAATATGTACAATTTCAATAATAAATTAGAAACAAATAACTCTGTAGACAGTTCATAGACATCAAACTCTTCGACAACATTTTTCAGCCTTCATTTCTAAGAGTTCACCTGATCCAAGATGGCCTTCTTCTTGCTGGACAAACGTGTGTGGGCAGCACATATGAAATGCAGTGTTGGGGGGTTGCCTCCAAGCAGCGGGAAGATGTCTATTAATAAAAGAAACACTGCAGAGGGTCAGTGGCAATCAGGATAAGTTGAAGAACAGCTGCACAATATGTAAAAAGCTCTCCAAAAAGTCTTTAATATTTTTCTCCTCCAGTTCCTCGCATTCTTTGCATCCAGATTCTGTTATATTCTGCCAAAGAAAAAGAAAAGGATTAGATTAGAAAATCTAATGAATTTCTTTCCTGGAAAGAGCACCTCAATGAACCACATGTGAGAGCTTGAGATGTGGGCACTTTGGCAAATTAATATATTAGGGAGAATGTGAAAAAAAGAGAACAGGGGGGTTGGACATGGGTTTATTTTTCTTTGAATGAATCAAGGGCTTGGAAAATGAGCCGTCACAACAAAGCAGGGACTTCTGCTAGAGCTCCCCAGTGCGCTCTTGCCAGCCACCCAGTGCGCAGCCCCCACATCCTGCCCGCACAGGCTCCCTGCCTGCTCCTCACTGCTGTTCCCACTGCCTCCACTGTCACACTGAGCTCAGGCCTTCCCCTCACGCACCCCTAATGTATCAGATGCCTCACTGCCTTTGCTGTTCTCGCCACCTGCCCACACGTCCTACTTTACCTACTGCTTACTCACACCTACAGTGGCGCGGGGCTGTCTCCAGTAGGAAGGCTCTCCTGGACCAGGGAAGCCCCAGGCTGGACTCTCTGTCCCCTCTCTATGTCCTCAGAAGCCCTTGTTTAGACGAGCCCTCTGATCACAGGACGTGTTACACTGACTCCATGAAGTTCTATCCTTGTTACACCACCAGTGTTTCTGCTTCCCCCCAAGTGACACAGGGTCTGGCACCTCAGCTTCACCCAGACATTGCTGGTTGAAGCGAATACAACAAATTATTCTAATATTGCTTGATGCTGTTTTTGCAGCATCTATCCTTTCAGTGGATAGAGGATAGACTCTGGGTGGCGCTTGCTGGGGTTTGCAGCTGGCTCCCCATTTTACCAGCTGCCAAGATTGTAGGAAGTGAGCCAATCACAGTGCTCCAATTTCTTCAACCTTCGGATCCAGGATCACTATCTTACAGATGCATTGTGAGCATTCCCAGAGCTATCGTTTAAATTTCAAAGAGCAATGTCTGGCACACAGTCATAAGCCCTCTGTAATTAGATGAGAGTTTACACACCGTACCTGGCAATAAACCAGGTCAGTGAGGTTTATGAGCTCAGCAAACTGACTGGTTTGCACCATCTCTCTAGCACACTGGTGGCGCAAAGTACTTGATGTTTGTTGAATGAATACATGAACGAACAGTTTAGGGTTGTGTGCACACTGGGATTGTGCCCTGCTGGATGCCCCTCCACTGGAATGAACTACTACTCCCCAGTTTCCCTTCGGTAACCAGCTAAAGCTGCCCCCAATCAAGCCTCAGCTGAACACCTGCCATAGCTCTGTGAGCTACTAGAAAACTCACCCAATCAGAAGATAAGCTGTTGTTTGCCAGGATGATAAGGTTATCCACGAGTTCTTTAATGCTGTTATTTTTGGACTCCTGTGAAATCACACGCAACTCCAAGAGAAAGCACTTCATTGCTGTGATTTTACAATCAGGCTAAAACGAGAGTTACAAAGCATTGTGAAAAAAAACCATTTTCTCAGCGCTCATTTTTACAGATGTGTTTTGATTTTTTAAAAATATTGAAATAAGTCAGAAGGAGAAAGACACACACTGATTGTTTCACTCACGCGGAGGACAGAAAAAAACAAACAAAGGAACGGCCAACCCGAGCCAAAACAAACCCTGCAAGTGATTGTAGAACTGAGGCTACCAGAGGAAGGGGGTGCAGGGGGAGCAAAGGAAGAGGGTCCCAACGGCCTGTGGAGAGGACTGTGGGTGCCTGGGGCAGGGGGCATGGTGACGTGCACCTGAAGGGTGTGATCCCGCACCTCTGAACCACAGACAGTGCTGTCAACCATTGTTACCACAATTAGGAAAAAAGACAAAATAGCAGGTGATAAAAAGCCAATCCAAATATTTTATAAAGAAACAGAATACCCCTAGGAAATTTCACATAGGAAGCAATTTGATTTTTTTTTTCTCTTTCAGCTTTGAAATTAAAACCAAAATAAACTGACAATAAAACAATCTAGGAGGCCAACGACAGGTTTAAGAGCACGATGGGGCCCACGCCAAGCGCTCCCAGAGCCTGGGCTCCGTGTGAAAGGTGACGAGGCCGGCCTTCGACTCTCAGAGCACCCACAGAGAGTATATGGCGGGATTTTAGAATCAGATTGTACTTTTGACATTGCAAAGGGTGGCAGCTGCTATCATAACATTCCTACAAGTTCCAAAGTTCCAGAGACAGATATGATTCCAAGAACTTTATTAGAAAAGTCAAAACAGGAGCCTCCTGCCAGGCTGGCCAAAGCAGGGTGCCTTTAAAGTACTGTGTGCGCACAGGTGCGTGCACGCACACACACACACACCGGCCTACACACGTGTACACACACGCCAGGACATATTTCCCACAGCAAGTCACTTTAACAAAAACTGAACTTGAAAGAAGAAAGAAACATTTTCTGTGCCCTTGGGGATGTGAGTGTGGCTGGTCTGACTCTGGGCTCTCTGAGGCTGGCCCGGACCCTCAGGCGCTGAATAAAGGAGTGGAGGAGGGAAGGTCCACGCCCATGCCCTGGGCCCTGACAAGACACCCTTGCTCCCCCACAGCACTGCCCAGAACTGCAAGGCTAAAACTGTCACCCCGGCCAAATAAAATCGTGACTAAAATAAATAATAAAACCGAGTTTCAGAAACGTCTGCGACTCCCCAGGTGATCCAGCTGGGAGGTGGCTCCGTCAGGCTTCAAGCCGAATTCCCACCTCAGCTTTTCTCTACCGCCCCAGCACAGCAAGGTTATCTTCCCGCGGAAAAGCTATCTCAGGATGCAAGTGCTGGTGGTTAATTGACTGCTTTCTTCTTCGAAAAAATGCAAGAAAAACGGGGAGCATGTTCAAGGCAAGGGAGAGAGACAATTTCTCAGTACAGCAGCGCTCTCCCCTGGGTTGATGATATCTGTCTCTTTCAGTTTCTGAGGATGGCTTCTTTCCAATTCTTAGAAACCCGGGTGGGGGCAGAGCCTTCTATTTCAGAGAAGTTCTTAGGGAAAATAGACAGAGGACCGATTGTTCTGAACACGTACAACAAACACCGCGTTTGCTCTCCTTGAGGTGGAGAAGTCAGTGATTTGTTTCTTGGTTTTTAGAAGCCAATTCAGACAGAAAGGATTAGCAACAGGGCTGAAATTATACCTGCCTGAGGCAATGTCAGGGTATTAATGAAACAAGTGCAAGATAACTGTGAATTCTGGAAGATTTTCTGGGCCGCGTTTGTTTCTTCTCACAGAGTAACCAGCCAGAATCTTTTGCTGATAATTGTGGAGATTGGTACAAAATGGAGGAGATGAATATATTTAGCTATTTGTAAATATATGGAAGTGGTAGTCTACTACAGCACTGGAAATAAGTGATCTGCTGGTACTTTCTAAATTGATTATTGCATTTAATTGCATCATGGATCTAATTGCATCACCAAAATGTATAATATGTCTTGTTTGACATTGATGGAAAAGGCTTTTATTTGTATTTTCATTTGGCACCATTACTTCAATAATATCCACCCAGCTCTCTGTCTCCAAATCCCTCAGCCTCAAGAATTATTCATAAAATTCACTGATCATATGTTCCAAGAGCAAACCAAAAGTTAAACACTCTATATATTTCAGTCAATTCATGAAAATATATTTTTTAAAAAGCTTTTTGAAAATGAAAGTATAACAATTTAAAAAAACTATACTTACACGAACATTGCTTTCAGTATATAAAGTAGCATCCATGTGTATAGACTGAAAGGAAACAAAATTAGATAATAAGAAAAATAACTCTGTGTTTTCGATAATAATGAAAACAGCCGGCTGAAAACATTAAAATAAGCTTCTGAAATCAAATTCTTTATATTGAGGTTATTGTAGATGCACGTGCAATTGTAAGACAAAATACAGAGGGATCCTTGGTGCCCTTCACCCAATGGCCCCCAGGGGAGCCGCTTCCATAAACATAGTGCAATATTACAACAAGGAAATTGACATGGGTACAATCCATCTGCCTTGTTCAGATTTTACATTCTTATGTGCACTGTTGGGTGTATGTGTGCAGTTCCAAGCAAATTATCAGGTGATTGATTCAGGTGGCCGCCACTGCACTTAGCATTTAGGGCAGCTCCGCCACCCTAGGGGTCTTCCTAGTCTTCTGGCCAAACTCAGCCTCCTTCATCACCCCATCTCTCTAAGCCCTGGCAGCCATTCCTATGATGCTGTGATGTCAAGAATGCTCTCTCTCTCTCTCTCTCTCTCTATATATATATATATATATATATATATATATAACATATATGGATTCAAATAGCATGTAACCTTTCGAGATTGGCTTTTTGGAAAAATTAATAGAAATCAGAAAAGATATTTATTGTTTGAGCAGTTGGTTTACAGAACAGGAATGGAATATACAGAGTTCCCAGATAACTCCTTACTCACTCCCCCAGTGTCCCATATTATTAGTATCTTGCATTAGTGTCGTGCATCTGTTACAGCTGATGAGTCAATATCGACACACTTTTAACCAAAGTCCATAGATTACATTAGGGTTCACTCTTTTATTCATTCCATGAATTTTATAATGACATGTGTCCATCCTTACAGTATCATATAAAATAATTTCACTGACATAAAAATTGCCTGTGCTTCTCCTATTTATCCCTCCCTCTCCTCTAACCCGTGGCAACCACTAATCTTCACACGGTCTCCATAGATTTGCCTTTTCCAGAATATAACTGGGATCATACCCTACGTATTTTTATTTTTTTAGATCGGCTTCTTAACAATATGCTTTTAAGTTCCTTCCATGTCTTTTCAAGGCTAGATAGTGTATTTCATTCTATCCATTAAGAGTATCCCCTGCATGGAGCTACCACGGTTTTTGTTCACCCAGACCAATTTTTATCCCACACATCATAATACTCTGGCTTCATCCAACTTGGATCATCTGGTGGCTCCATCCAACTTTGGTTGTTTATCCCTTTTTATGGCTCAGTATTCCGTGATGTAATGTACCTTAGCTTACCTGTTTACCTCTTGAAGGACACTTGGGTTGTTTCCAGTCTTTAGCTATAATCCATCAAGTCGTATGAACATTCTTATGTATATTTTTTGTGTGAATGTAAGTTTTCATTGCTCTGATTTAAATGTTCGAGTGTAATTGCTGAATCAATAGTAAAGGTATATTTTGACCTATAAACAACCGCTGAACTATGTTAGAGGGACTATTCTTACAGCAATACATGAGTGATACGGTTTCTCCACATTTCTCCACATTCTTGGCATTCTAGTACTTTGGTTACAACATTAGGAGATGCTGGTATTGTTTAAATCTTCAACATGCTGTCAACCTGTTGAGGTCTAGCTTATGGGTTTTGACCTACGATAGCTTAGTTTTCAGAATCAATGTGGTGTTCACCTGGAAGCCTTCATTCATTGGTACCCCTGGGAGTTCCAACAATTCCCAAAATGTTGCCCAGTGGGAGCAGAAGGTATTTCCCTGGTCACTATGTCAGTGGGATCCCTGTTCTCTCCCCCATTCAGGTATCTCTAGGTAGGAGAGAGGTTCTCTATTCGCGGGGCACCAAGCCCTTCCCTGGGTCAGGCTACACCCCCTGCCAGTGCCACTACGTCACCTGTCCCTCTGGTGGGGGAAGGGCATCTTTGGCTGTAAGGACAAGAGAGTGCTTCATCCCGGGCCACTTGTAAATGGAGTTTAAAGAAAATCAAGATCTGAAAATTGTATGGGAAAGACTTAAACTGAGACTTCACCAAGGTGACAAATTTCTACAAAAATATTATTGTTTCAAGTAAGATTTCATTAAGATTGGCAAAAAACGGGCCTCCCTGGTAGCGCAAGGGGTTAAGCACCGCACTATGAAGCGATCCGAAGCCTCTGCAGCATGAGTTTGATCCCTGGCCTGCCAGGGAGCAACCCACATGGCGGAGCAGACCTCTCCTGTCTCGCCCGCTGCTCCCCTCAGCAGTATGTTTCAGTCAGTCTGCCTGTTTTGCTCCCCGCTCTATCTCTGGTGGATCCTCTCACCCCCTGCATCTCTGGCCTGTACCCCCAGCTCTTGTATGCATAAATAAATATTTAAAAAAAAAAGATTGGCAAAATGAGTACTCACTTGAATGAGATTTTCAATTTGTTTCAAATCATGCCTTACAAAGTCCCAGTTGGCCTCTGTTTTGGGAAGCCCAGCACTCACACAGCTGAAAGCAAAAGCAAAGAGTAAAGCCTTGAGAACGAGTGTAATGTGGCCCTGGTGGTCAATGCAGGAAAAGAACAATAAGATTTTTTTATTCTGACTAGTGGAAAGATGAGTGTTAGCCTTCCTTTGTGCACTAACACCTTGTCCACAATATGGACAATGAACATAAAATTGTCCACCTTGACACTTTAAGCTCACTTAAGGGTGCACAAAGGTAGAGCAGAGTCAACCTAATTCGGGGGGGAAATTTACAAATTTCCTGGAGCAATTCATCACAATAAATTCAAAACAGGGCCCCCTGTGTGGTTGTACTCAACAAATGCTTCTCAAGGACTTATCAGTTTTCTTGAAGTAGAGGTTCCTACAGATTTTTCAGCCTAATAATTTGGTAAAATTCTCTAAAAAAGTAACAGTCATTTTCATCTAATGACCTTGACAGTAAATGTTCTCCACAGTAGGGTAGACATGCCCTTCTATGCTGCTAATTATGAAAATAATTAGCAATTATTTTCATAAGCATGAAGACTTATGTCTTGTGTCAGCTGAACAATCGCATACTACTCGTTTTGGTAAGGTCGACTTTTACTATCAGACTAAATGCACCTTAAGAAGTGGTCCTCAGAGCTTCAGGAAGAGCAAAGATCCAGACTGGCCTTCACAGCAACCTGAGAGCGAACACTCACCTTTCCTGTGAGAAAGATTTACCTGCACACACCTATGGCTCCCGCACCACAAAGGCTTGAGTACTAAAACTGAGCTGACAGTTGGCTACACTAAAGGGCGGGTGCTCTGGGCCAGCTGGGGGCCGTGGGCCAGCTGTATGAGCACAGGGGAAAGAGCTAATAGGCTTGCACACATACGGGTATTTATTAGGAGGAAAAACAAAAGTTCTGACTAAAAAAAAATGTTTTAAACTGAACTAGGACAGAGATCAAAGAATAAAAGAAATCAGCATCAGGGACAGGTTAAAAAGTAACATGCGTGCGTCCTAAATAGTTTCTTTACTGCTGTGAAAAGTGTGCAGGCTATTAACAAGTAAATATATAAATTAAATATTATAAATTCATGTAATAAATATGTGTATATATGTGTATATATATACATATATATTTATTGTGTATCTCCAAGTTAGATCTTAAATACTAAGAGTCCCAGTTTATTTGGGGGACACAACACTCATTTCAATATCACCCAGATAGAGAAAAGCTCAGTGGGTGTTCACGGAACCTCCCATGAGTCTCCCCTTCTGACCTCACACGCAATGCTGAGCACTGAGGATGCGAGTGAACTGAACATGCACCAGCTCGAGGAGAAGAGGCTGAGGACGGTGACTGTGGCCCGCTGGGGAGACGCTCGTGTCTAGAGGTAAGTTACCTGAATATGAAGACATGGATGCCAGCCTCAGTTAGGAAGTGACTGTTGAGAAGTAAACACAAGTAGCACTGGATGGAAGTACCTCTCAGATATTGTTTCTGAAAAATATAGACAAAATGGTTATTTTTTTAGTGAAATATCAAATCATATTTTAGATCCAAAAATGTAACCTTATTACAATTTCAGAATGAATGTTGTTATAAGATACAGGGAAGCTAAGTTTTTTTTGCTTTTCTCTCCACCTCCAGCTGTTTCTGACATGCAAAATTATTTAATACAGATTTCTCCAGATGCATTTCAATGACAATAATTAAAAAAACAAATTTACATATTTACTAATTTGCCATCTATGTTAATTGCATCACTTAATATAATGTTTTTTTCCTGAACCTCCCTCACATCCTTTTTTCCTTTCTAATAGTTGTAATATTTTATATACAGCAGAGATTAGTAACATAAATTTCGACTATAAGTGTACTAGTTATATAGTCATTTCATATAATAATATGAAGTTCTATGCAATGTCATTTGGAGAAATAATGAATAGAAAGGGGACCAACTAAGTTATCCCATCCTGACAGGCACTAAATAATCCCTTTTCTTGTGATTTAGGAAGCCACTGATCTTGGAACCACCCAGAGTTTTGATACTGTGCCTGTTTGTTTTTTTTTTCATGCTTTGAAGACTGTCTAGGTCCAGAGAGCAGTGAACTACTCTCTTAAGCACTAAGAATTCCCTTAGTCACATGGAGCGATCAATAAGGCCTAGTTGTCCTTAAAGACTTCACAATTTTCTGAGTAAATAGACATTTAAAGAACACAATAAGGCAAGGTAAGTGAAACAACACATTTATCGCAACAGGCAGGAGGAGCTTATCGGGTTTAGTAGAGTTTTATTAAAACTTTTATTTATTTTCAAAATAAAAACAACCCCTCTGTGAACAGACGTCAGCAACATCCCACAACCTTAGAGAGGAGTCATAGGATTTGCTGTGAAGGGAGAGTCAAGGGACATTTTAAGAAAAGTCATTGTACCATCTATCTAATCAATCTGCATCTAAGTTTTCTTACCGAAATTCTCATTACTCAAGGCCAGGGTCAATCTTTAAGTATCGAAGAAGAGCTGGCTATGCCGATGGGTTGCCAGCGGCCGTCCATCCAGAACGCAGTGCGGCCCACAGGAAAGGATGCCCCATCAAAACCCCAGGTGGACTGGTGGGGGGAGAGAAAGGGCAGAGGGTTAATATTTACTGCGCACTTACTTCTTCATACACGCTCTACTAGTCACTTAACACATGCACCAAATTCTCTCCTCACAACAATTTTAAAGGGTGAGCTCAGCAGCACTGGGGGAGCCGTGCTGAGACAGGCTGGAGGACAGCGACCAGGATGGAAGCAGACTCCTGCTGTAACAGGGTGGTCCCCAGGAAAGGGGGAGGTTCCAGCTTCCCTGCCCCACCCAAGGAAGGGTGGAGCTGAGCAGGGAGAGAAGAAGCTGCAGAAGAGACTGAGGAAGGAAGCAGGATGGAGCCAGGAGACCTGGAGGAGGCGCGTGGAGCCTAGAGACACGTGAAGAAACTGCGCTTGTCTTTTGGTCGTGGACTGGGTGACACAGATGTGGGTGAGACCCGTGGGGAGGTGACAATGGCAGCTTTTATCTTGATGTTGATTTTGCTCTTTTCCTTCCGGGCTTGTCCAGTTGTTTGTGACCCTTTTCTGTGGGTCCCCACTGGAAGATGCTTTAGACTTGTGGCGGGCTTTGGGGCCTTGTTCTGGGCCGATCCCATATGGATGGACTTTTACCCACGAGGGGACGGGTAACTTTGGGTGCTTTATTTAGAAACTAGACTCTTTGCCTTTCCTGTATTGTTTCCTAGTTTTATTAAAGTTCCTTCCCATTAAAGTCTCATACGTTTTGTGTTGATGCGGCGGATGGCAGAACCCACTTAGAATAGGCAGGTTTGCGGGGCTTGGGCTACCCCTCTCCTTGTCCTATAACACTGCCAGGCCAGGACCTCATATAGATGGTGATGGCCTCAGAGGGCGGGGCGGTGTGGAGATATGGAGGTGCATTGGAGTCTGTAGATATTTTAAGACAGAACCAACAGAATTTCCTGACATACTGGATGAAAATGCAAATAAGGAGCATGACATCGAAGGACTGAGGTCAAAAGGCATTGGCCTAAAACCCCTGAGTTCACAAAACATCCAGCTAGCAGAGCATGTAAAGAGAAAAGTGCTGTGAGAAAAGGAAAGAACCGCCATCTTACAGTCTCCTCAGAGAATGGCTTCAGGGGATCCAGCCAGGTCAGGTGCTCCCTCCCTGCTCCCTCTTCTCTCCCCTCCACACACTTGAGAGCAACTCTCCCCAGAGGGATCAAGGGAGGGGTCTGGACTGCCAGCGGCTGTGAGGCAGTGCAGCCGCAGAATCAGAGGCTCTCTGAGGAAGCCTGTCTTAGGTGATCACAGACCTCCCTGCGCCTCTCTCCAAGCCCAACCATCGTTACCCCGGACGCTTTTGTTCTTCTATGGGTCTTGTTCTTTAGCTGTGAATTTGTTTTAAGAATCTGAGTTCCTGTTTTAAGCCGTTTTTAATGATCAACACTTTAACATTAGAAATCCATGCACTCTCGCCTAGAAAAAGGCACAAAAGCAAATATCCAAAAATTTAGCTAAAATCATCGGAAGCAAAACCATTAAATCCTCTAGAAGTCTCAGGACCCTGGGTTTAGGATCTCTCTTCTCGACTGTTGACCGCAGGAGACGATTTGTTCGGCGTATGTCCATAACACGCATACACCAGGTGCATTCACCTGTATGTCTTCTACGGTGCGGAACACTTCACAGGACACGACAGGAGAGCCACTGACTTGAATAACTCAGAGCTACGGGGCAGTAAACCAGACACCGAGAGCCAGCCTCATGCTCTGTGCCTGGTTATTCACAGCCTCTGTGGGCCAGTTTTATAAAGGAGGTAAAATAAACATTAAACCAGAAACTGTTTGACTGCTTGGATATGACTGTAGGTGCAATAAAAATTCATATTTAGGCGAGGACAGCACCTGTAACATAAAGGATACTCAATAAATATTTGTGGGCTAACTGTGAATACATGAATAAATGCATAACAAGTAAGGGTGAGTGAATGAATGGTAATGCCCACGGAGAAGGCTTTTTGGATGTGGTACTGAGGCGGAACAGGAATTTAGTACAATGGCTGCAGCCACTACATGCCCCTATCCAGTATTTCCAAAAACAGCACATTTCAGAACAAAGTAACTCAAAGCTATTCATTTGATTCAAACCATATTAGTTTATCTTATCCCAGGTGCCACTAGTTGTAAATTTCTGTCACAGCTGAAGAATAGGAGCTTGGGGTCAGATGCTTTTGATAAACACAACTGGCGAGATCTCATTCTCCAAATCTGCAAATTCTGCCCTGTTGTTTGACAAAATTGGTCAAAAGCACCCATCAGGAGCCCATCTGTGAGCTCTGCTCTCCTAGAATGCAGCAAATATTTATATCCACAGCCTCAAGACCCAAGATGGGAATCTCCTAGAGCCTGCATACTCCTCACGAGTGTGTCCTCTCACCTACAACACAGCGTCATTGTAACTCTTCTGTTTGACTCCTTCCTGGGTAGAACTCAAGAATCTCAGGGTCCCTCAGCACCCCTGGTCCTCTTCAGTGGCAATTCAGGTTAGTACTGCAACGTGAGTAAGATATTGACAGGGGCTAGGGACGAGGCAGGGGGCCCATACCTAGTACAGGAATCTGCATGCACGCACACCCCACAGGCTGTGTGCAAAAACCATGTGATTAATAACCTATTTTCTTTGAAATGAGACTCTTATTTTGAACTGAGAGTCCTACCCCAAAGATGCCTGGAGAAGTGTGGGGCACTCATGTCATCAGGAGAACAAAGATGTTTTCCCAGGCCCAGGAAAACAGAATGTACCGGGTCAAGGTGACCAAGGGGTCATCAACAAACCCTGGGGAAAGCAGGAAGACCAGGGCACCCACTGGATGGGCTGCTGTGGTGGGAAGTTCGCTTATGGTTAACTTTCTTGGTTTAGTTCACCAAAAGGTCAGCTTGAGATGAGGTGTTAGAAATGGTTTGGTGGGAGGGGGCACTGGGGCCTCCCCTGTGGCGCAGCAGGTTGAGCGCAGCGCTGTGAAGCTGTCCACAGCCTCTGAAGCATGGGTTCGATTCCCGGCCGGCCAGGGAGATTCCCACATGGTGCAGCAGACTCTCCTGTCTCACCTGCTACTCCCTTCAGCAATGTGTTTCAGTCCTTCTGCCTGTTCTGTTCCCAGCTCTGTCTCTAGTGAATTCTCTCACCCTCTGCGCCTCTGGCCTGTACCCCAGTGTTTGTATAAATAAAAAATAAACCTTTAAAATAAAATGGTTTGGGGGGGACAAGATAAACCCCCATTCTCTCAGATCCCTGGCTTTCTGAGAATAAAGTATATGTTATATGATGGAATACTATCAGCAATCAAAAAGATAAACTCATGACACTTGTAGCAACATGGATGGAGCTGGAAGGGATTATGCGCAAGTGAAATAAGTCAGAAGGAAAAAAGAAAAAAACTATCTGATGGTTTCACTTCTAGGAGGAACATAGGGAAAGCAAACATAGAGTTAGGAAAAAGAAGACATAACTCGCAGGCAAACTATAGACCTGAGGCATATAGAAGGGATGGGAGAGGCGTCAAAACAGGAGAGGGAAGAGCAGAAGGGAATAAGGTGACATTTCACAGGTGACGTGGTGGTGGGAGATTGGGGGGGACTACATCTGAGGGGAGAAATCAAATATTGTAAAAAAATAAATGAATGAATGAATAAATTAATTAATTAATTAATTAAATTATGCCAATTCACTGAAAAAAATAAAATAAATAGAGTGTGTGTTATAGCTTCAATCCCTGTATCTATTCAGTTGACTTCCAGCAGTGACAAGCTGCATTTTCCCCATGGACTCAGCACAAAAAAAAAATACCACTGGAGAAAAAGAGAAGCTAGGAGGTGGCATCCATCAAAAAGGGCTGAAGGAAGTCAAAGGAAATACACATGAATAGGTAGGGTGGAGCTGTCTTGCCCGGGCCCTCCAAAGTCAAGCTGAAGAATCTGATTTGATCACCTGAGCAGTGAGTGCAACTTTCGATTCTAAGACTAGTGGTGTTACCTGATATACGTACCGGGAATTATTGGTGGTTCAATGCATCATTGAAGAGGAAAAAATTAAATATTAGTGTAAACAGACCAGTTGCTTACCTATTGACAAACGATTACCCTAATTTGATTCCTGGTCACCCTTCTTAAGAAAGGAGAAACTGTCGATTATTCAAGAGCAAAGGTTGTAGTTGGTTTCAAGCTAAGCCCCCCATGTTATTTACTGGCTAGGAAAGTACAGGATTGGGTCATAATCAGTTGAGATCCTAGTAGAAAATTTCCCAGACTTCCAGCCCATATGCCTGACAAAAGCTTCTCTCTGGAAGCTTCTCTTTGGTACTGTCCCTTCTTTATGTGTAGTTCCTTTCCTGATACCATTGCTGTATTTGGACCGGCCTGCCGATGCTGGTCATCACTGAATCTCTCTACGAATCCATTCACAGGCTGTCTGGGTTAAAGCCCCCTTTGGAGTATAGATAAGTGAAAACTGAGTGATGCTTTCTTTTTTCCAAAAAATGGTACCCACCCTCCGCAGACTAAAGTCTTGTTCTTTCCCTTCAACACCACCTTCTCCGCCTTACTATAACTCTCACTCCCCTACCTAAATGAGAGGGTGAACTTGGGAATATGGCCGTGATCATCAGACTAGGGACAAGTGGCCCATTTTTAAATAAGGGGCTCTGGGTTCCTGCGGTACATTTAGGGGAAGACCCAGAGCAGATGCCAGGCCCATGTGGCTTCTATTACAACACCTGGTCTCTCACCTCTCCCTGACATCCAGGGGAGCTACCGTTGTTGGGGCGCACACACACCTGTCCCCACACCTCACATGTTGGTGACTGCAAGGGTGGGTCAACAGGATGCGTCGTCCCTGCTCTCACAGAGCTGCTGTAACTGGTCACGTGACGACTTTCCTATTGCATGTGTGTGGTAGCTGCACAGAGGGGGCTGCACTGACCTTTAAACCAAATTCTAGCTAGTCCTCTATATTTTAATAGTTTTGATCAAAAGCGAAATGTGTAACTAGATAAGTTA